ATAGATAGATAGATAGATAGATAGATAGATAGATAGATAGATAGATACATAGATAGATAGATAGATAGATAGATAGATAGATAGATAGATAGATTTGAAATCTAAAAACAGACAGCAGCTGAGCACACCATGTTTGGAGACGTCTGTGGGTCCTCATTGCCTCCCCAAATGGCTCTTGTCTTGGCAAAAATCTTCTTAACTGTGAGATCTCCGTGTGCCACAACGATGGAAGTGATATGAAGACTTGGTCCTCTTTGAGGAGGTCCTTAGGGGTGGGTCTTTCCCTCGACCTCACACAAGATGAGTCACAGCCTTGTCAGCTTTGGTGACTGACAGGTGGCTGAAGCCCTTTCCAGTCAGATACATTCTTCAAGCCTCAATGCGTGCCTTTTTGAGGAAGGCTCCTACTGCTGCCCCCTCATTGTGGGTACCTTGTACATACTCAGCTATGTTACAGTGTGATCTGTGTGTGGGACTGGTGGTAGTGGTCGTGCTTAATGTTTCTCACAACCCCAACACTTGGAAGAGACTGGCACAAAGTAGGGACTTAAAAATATTCAGGCTGGAGCTGAAGGCTCAAAGTAGGGGAGCTAAGGATAAAAAAATAAAACAACATCCAGATGAATAAACAGGCAGTTGTCTGGCTCAGGGATAATGCCGACTTGTGTTTAAGCAACGACACCAAAAATGTTGGGCTTTGCTCATGCATGCAGCACACTCACAACAGAGGGCTGTTCGTAGGGGCAGAAGAGATCCAGAGAGAAGAAACAAGATACCAAACACAGAGCTTAGTAAGCAGGCAGCTATCAGACATCCAGCATGCGGTAAGTAGCCTTTGGATGTTACCCAAGAGAAGCATGAACTTGCCTTTAGTATCTTTTTTATAAAGTTTTGTTTATTTTGTTGTATGTGTATAGGTGATCTGCCTGCATACATGTCTGCATCACATGCATGCAACGCCCAAAAGAAACCAGAAGAGGGAATCAGATGCCCTGGAATTGGAATTACAGATGGTTGTGAGCTGCTATGTGGGTGCTGAGAACCGAGCCCTGGTCCTCTGGAAGAGAAGCAGCTCTCCAGGTTCTAACATATAACACAATGTTTTTAAAACCAAGTCGTAAGTAGATAGAAGAAGCACTGGGAAGATGAACTTTAAAGAGAGGCTATAATATTACTCAGTTTTGGGCCAAGAAGCCCAAGGTCACCCCTTCTTGCCATTAAGAGGGGCTTATATTACATCACTCTGCACATTCAGCCCCAACTGCCCCAACCCAAATGTAGCACAATTCAGTAGTTTCAAACTTTAAGATCCTCGCAGCATCGACTTTTTGTCTCTAAGCAGCCTTAGAGCCTAAAGGACCATTGAATCAGGACCATGGACAGAAGGGAAACACTTTCCCCAAAGACAAATTTCTCTGTACAGTTTTCCTAAAAATAAGTAAAATCTATTTTAAGTTCATGTAGGATATACAATAATCTGGGGGTGGGGCTCCCCTCCCAGTGAAGATAATTAGAACATGACCTTCCAATCTGCAACTGTTGTTAAGTCCTGGAAGAGCCCAGCTCAGGGAGTGACACCCTGGCCGTATGAAGTTTGGTGTTTTTCTTTCCCTAATCTACATCACCACTGACTAACTTGATCCTCATTCCACAGGGTTTAGTGACAGACTTTTTTTTTTTAACTAGAAAAGAACAATAAAATTTGTAACAAGCTCTTCCTTTGCATCCACCAAGCATACATGAACAAAGAGATGAGCAGAATGACTTTGAACTAAGACTCTTACCTGAGATGGAAACTGCAGTTTCCTCTTGTATTGTATCTGGTATTTTATCAAGCCGCATGTACCCCTGAAAATATTTCAAAATGCATTGAAGATCAGCTGGCTTACACTCCGTTTTATATCAAGTAGAGAAGTAAAATTAAAATGTAACATTTATTTTAGTATTGGAATTATCTTAATATGACCATTGTGGATCTGAAAGCAAATCGCCTTTATTAAAAAAAAAAAAAAGTGTTGCTTTTTTTGTGTGTGTTGGGCATCGAACCCAGGGCCATGCAAGTTCAAGTGCTCTGTCACTGAGCTGTATGCCTAGGCTGAGACCATGTTCTTTAAACTAAATAAATCAGAGATCATCTTACAGGCTTTCAGCCTAGAATAAACTCCTTTGGACCGTGTGCAGAAAACCCAAAGAAAGATAAAGTCCTAGTTGGCACTGAGGAAATAAGAACCACTCATCATCGGGACAATAAAGATGTTGAGTAAAGACATTCAAGGAGGAAAAATGTACAATAAAATTAATTTAGTGTAAAGTGAAAAATAAAGTGATGTATGAAGCCTAAAAATACTAAGTCACTAGATAAGCGAGGGGGAGAAAGAAGTGAGTGTCATGCTGAGGCATAGTGTATGAAAAAGCATAAAATTAGGAAGGAAATAAAACCAAATCAGCACGGCAGCAGTTCCTGGGCCGAGCTGGGCAGCAATCTGTGTCTAGATTAAGGTGAAGTCTATACTGTAACCACAACTAAGCCCGAGAGAGCAGAGGTGAAGGCCATCACGAGATTTCACTGTTTCCTGTGTTCTTATGTACTAGATTCCCCAAGTTATTGCCAGGAACATACCCTTTGGACGAGGCTCTCCAGATCAGTCCTGTAGACGTCGTTGACAGCGTTGAGTTCTCTATCCACAGATGGGAGCTGAAAAGTTATGAAACAAATAGTAAGAAGAGGAGGCTAAACTTCACGCATACAGACAAAGAGTCATCTTTCAGGCCGGTCCCTGGGTATTGACATTGCAGGGCCTGACTTCATTTTCTTTTGAAAACCCAAAAGAGGCCTGGGAAAATCACATTCTGTTCAGAGTGGCATCTGTGAGACCTGAAATTTGCGGGTTTGCTCTAGTCAGCTCACAAGATACAGATAAAGTACGTGTGGCTGCACAATTGCTGGAACGGAGCATATTTAGTGAAGCTATAAAAAAAAACAAACAAACTTGTAAACACTGTTTTTAAAAGTAAAACAAGAGTTGAAACTACCGTCTAAATAAAGTGAAGTACGTGTCACGCCCTGGGTTGGATCCACAACATTAAACTAAACAAATAAGTAAATAAAGAAATAATGTTAGAATTAAACAATGCAGCTGGTGGTTTCATTGGTTAGAAGTCTGGAACCAGTTTCCTAAGTACGGGATTATACATGGAATCCAAGCACAGCAGCTCTAGGCACCTGGGACAAATGCCCTGGGGTTCTCAACATGACAGTCATCAAGAGACACAACACCACTTCTGAAATAGGTCCTTAGTGAGTGTGGAGAACTCAAGCCTCATTAGGAGAGATCACACATAAACCTAACTGAAGGCGCCTCCCCCAAACAGGAGGCATATTCAAAAATGCCAATGTCACATCAGAAAAAGACTGAGAATTAGCCCCCAAACTAAAGGGGAAAGAGAAACACAATGATACTGGCCATGTGAGATCCCGAGTTGCAAAGAGAAAAGACATTTGTAAGTGCATTTGCATTAAAAACTTGACAATATCTGAAAAGAATGTGAAGAGTGGATGGCTCTGTGTTTTGTGTCCTAACTTTGATGTGCATATGATGATTATGCAAAGTTTAGAAACACATTTAACTACTTAAATATAAAGGGAACAGGTCAGCAACTTAGCACCAACCTAGTTTTCAAGAAAAGAACCCTATACAATTTATATAACAACACGAAAAAGCAGAAAAATAAGTGGGATAAAATGCGGAACACTGGTGTCCTTGTTAGGTTTAACTGTCAACTTGACACAAGAATCAGTCATCTGAGAAGGACATTGCAACGGAGAGGCTGGCCAGATCAGGATGACCTGGACCGTGTCTGTAGGGTATTATCTTGATTAGTAACTGATGTGGGAGGGCCCAGCCCACTGCAGGTGGCAGAATTCCCTGCGAGGTGGTCCTGGGCTGCATAAGAAAGCTGGATTAAGTACAAGCCTCCCAGCAAGCCTGCGAGTTAACATTTCTCCATGGTCTCTGCTTCAAATTCCTGTCTTGAGGTCCTGCCCTGATTTCCCTTAAGGGTAGCTGAGACCTGGAAGTGTAAGCCAAAGAAACCTTTCTCTCCTCTAAGTTGCTTTTGATCACAATGTTGTATCACAACAGCAGAAAGGAAATCAGAACACTTGGAAAAAGTGTCCAAAGGCATGGAAGCGTGCATTTACAACTTTCCCATATACGTGTGTGTGTGTGTGTGTGTGTGTGTGTGTATCACACTGAAAAAGCAACAGTTCCAGGTATGGTAGTTTATGCCTGCCTTCCCAGCATTAGGAAGGTGGAGGCAGGAAGGTGAAGTTTGAGGTCTTCCTGGATTGTTTAACCAGTTCCAGGCAAATATGGGACTATTGTGAGACCCTACCTCAAAAAGGCAAATGACAACAACAAAGCATAAAACATTACCCTCTCAAAAGATGTATTTACTGTAATTAATATGAAAAAATTAAAAAAATATATCAAAAAAGACATTTCAAAAAACTAAAATAGAACTCACCTCTAAAAGTCCATTTGATTATTCCAAAAATAATTCAATAGATATTCAGACAATGGTAGTACACACATAGTCTTAAAAAAACAAAACAAAACAAAACAAAAACCTGGCTCATAAAATATAAAAGTGAGAATTGAGCATCTTACCCAGGGTCCTCCTTATTGCTTAGCTGTTTTAGGTGTACAGATTTTAGTATGTTTATCCTATGTTATATGTCTAACACTCACTTATAAGTATATACCATGTGTGTCTTTCTGCTTCTGGGATACCTCACTCAGGATGATCTTTTCTAGATCTCACCATTTGGCTGCAAATTTCATGATTTCCTTGTTGTTAATTGCTGAGTAGTATTCCATTGTGTAAATGTACCACAATTTCTGTATCCGTTCCTCAATTGAGGGACATCTGGGTTGTTTCCAGCTTCTGGCTATTACAAATAAAGCTGCTACAAACATGGTTGAGCAAATGTTCTTGTTGTATACCTGAGCATATTTTGGATATATGCCTAGGAGTGGTATAGCTGAAGAGGGAGAAAATAGGGAACAGGACAGGAACCTACCACAGAGGGCCTCAGAAAGACTATACCCAGCAGAGTATTGAAGCAGATTTTGAGACTCATAGCCAAACTTTGGGCAGAGTGCAGGGAATCTTATGAAAGAAGGAGGATATAGACAGACCTGGAGGGAAGAGGAGCTCCACAAGGAGATCAACAGAAACAAAAAAAATCTGGGAACAGGGATCTTTTCTGAGACTCATACTCCAACCAAGAACCATGCATGGAGATAAGCTAGAACCCCTGCACAGATGCAGCCCATGGCAGCTCAGTCTCCAAGTAGGTTCCCTAGTAAGGAGATCAGGGACTGTCTCTGGCATGAACTCAGTGGCTGGCTCTTTGATCACCTCCCCCTGAGGTGGGGGTGGGGTGGGAGGTCAGCCTTACCAGGCCACAGAGCTGGTCCTAATGAGACCTGATAGGCTAGGGTCAGATGGAAAGGGAGGAAGACCTCCCCTATTAGTGGACTGGGGAAGGGACATGGGAGAAAATGGAGGAAGGGTGGGAATGGGAGGGAACAAGAAAGGGGGCTAAAACCTTGGGCAGAGTGCAGGGAATCATATGAAAGAAGGGGGAGTTAGTAAGACCTGGAGAGGACAGGAGCTCCACAAGGACCAAATATATCAGGGCACAGGGGTCTTTCATGAGACTGTTTCTACAACTAAGGATACATATCCATGTATGGATACAACCTAGAACCCCTGCTCAGATATAGCCCATGGTAGCTCAGTATCCAAGTGAGTTCTCTAATAAGAGGAATAGGGACTATCTCTGAATGAACTCAATGGTGAGCTCTTCAACCTCACCCTCATCCCCACCCCCGAGGGAGGAGCAGCCTTGCTAGGCCACAGAAGAGGACATTGCAGCCAGTCCTGAAGAGACCTGATAAGCTAGGGTCAGATAGAAGGGGAGGAGGTCCTCCCCTATCAGTGGACTTAGAAAGGGGAAGGGAGGAGATGAGGTAGGGAGGGTGGGCCTGGGAGAGAATGAAGGAGGGGGCTATGGCTGGGATACAAGGTAAATAACCTGTGATTAATATAAAAAATAAAAAATATTGTGAAAAAAAGAAAGTAAAAATTTAATATATAAAATAAAAAAACAAGAAAGGGGACTAATTGAATAAATTGTAATAAAATATTTTAAAAATATGTAAAAGTGAGAAAAAGTATGTTAAACATATTAGTTTATTTAGAATGTGAGTGGTAAATGTAACTAAATTAATATTGATTGAAATATTAATTAATTAATAATTAATATAATATTAAAATTTTGCATCTAAAACAAGGGAGTGAGTTTTGGAAAAATAATGGTATATATGGCTATTATGCCTAGTTTGGGAGTATTTTTAGTATTTTATCTTACTTACATGTATTGTATGTCTATATGGAGGTATGTATGCATGTGAGTGCAATACATCTGGAGGCCAGGAGAGGGTGCTGGAGCCCCTGGATCTGGAGTTATAGGCAGCTGTGAGCTACCTGATGTGAGTGTTGGCAACTGAGCTCAAGTCCTTTGCATGGGCAGCAACTGTTCTTACCTGCTGAGCATTCTCCCAAAGCCCAACGTGCCTAGTTTTAAAAATTATCTGAAGACGAGCATGTATTTTGTTGTTCTTTTTCAGCCTGAATTTACCTTGATAAATCGTCAAATGGCACAGAACTTCTCAAAAGCCCCTCCCTTTCATATATATATATATATGAAATATATATATTTACTTCTGTTGCATTCATTCTAGTGTGGTGACTAAATGTCCTAAAAAGACTCACAGAGAACTGGAGGTGCCTGTTTTCCAGCCTGACTATGCACCTGACAGGTGCACCCCATCTTGGCCCTTCTCATCCAACTCTAGCTCTCCTGGCTGTGGCAAGCTCACAGCGCTCACCTGAATGTGGTTGCTCCTCAGATTGCTTAGTCCAGGTTTGACACTATCACAGATCTTGTTGGCTGGGGGTGAAGCACATTCCTTGCTGCTGAGTGAATTCTCTATGTTATTTCTCACAGTAGTCAGGTTGGTAACGAGCTGTATGCTTCCATTTTGTAGACTGTCCAGGGTGCTGCTCATGTCCTGCAGGGCATACTTGGTCTCTTTGATGACTGTAGGAACACAGAATCAGAGCGGGTCACAAGAGTGCTTCAAAAACAAACAAAAACTGGAGCTAGCTCGGACAGCTGCAAAGGGCAATGGGACAGGACACACAAGGGGAATGAAAGCTCCTTGCCAGCCCCTTCACCCAGCTCAGATCTCCTCCACAGGCTCTCTTTCATTAAGCAGGAGTTGAGCACAAACTCAGGAACTTCATGGCGATATACCTCAAGTCTGGTCAACAAAGCAGTTTAATCCACTTAAGAATCAATCACCTCCATACACCAGTTATGAGCATTCAGAGAGCTATAATTTATCAGCCAGGGATGGGCAGGTGGTGATGGAGGCCACTGGGGGAGGTCACCAAGTGAGAACAAAGTGTAATGACGTAGGAAAAAGCTGGACTGAAGGTTGGCAAGCTGGCTCCTGGAGCAAAGGTGCTTGCTGACAAGCCGGACAAGCTGAGTTCAGTCCCTGGGATCCACATGGTAGAAGAAGAGAACCAACTCTTTCAGTCCATGCCCTCCGATGTTTAACATCTGTACCCTCCCCCTGCCACACGCACAAAATAAACACACAAACACAATAAATAAGTAGAGGTAAAAATGAAAAAAAGAAATGGCACAAGGAACCCCATTAGTTTTCATACTAGCTTTCGGCAATACGTGCTGGTATGGAAATCTCAAGGGGAAAAGCTATGTAAGCCCTATGGAACTGAAGTCCTAAACACAAGACATGGAGATGCAGAGTTTGGAGTTTGCCCCACTGGGGTTCAGTCTCATTTTGGTCTACTATTTCCTTGCTATGCCCCCATTCCTCCTTTTCGGAATGAGGATATATATTCTGTGCCATTATATGTTGGAAGCATGACTTTTCTTTCTTAATTGTAAAATTAAGAGATTGCTTTGAGTGTCAGAAGACACTTCTGACTTGGGGACAATGCTGACTGTTCAGAAGCAGGGGAACTTTTGAAGTTGGACTAAGTGCATTCTGCATTATGATATGTCCACGAGCTTGTGGAGGCCAAAGAGTGTAATGTGATGGTTTGGATGTTCCCTACCACTACAGGCAGTTGAACACTGGTCGCTTGTTAGTGAAGGGCGCTGTTTGGGACTCTAAGGATGTGGAGCCATGCTGTAGGAAGTGCAGCAGTGGGGTGGGCTGAGAGTCTCTGTCTCATTCCTTGCTCTGTTTCCTCTATGTGGTTGAGATGTCATCTCTCTGTTGTCACGTGTTCCCCGCCATTATCCCTGGGGCTTATCGCAGCAACAGAAAAGTAACTGATGTGCTATCTATATGTAAATAAGTGAAACAGCAAAACAACAAAGCAAAAGGTTAGAATTAAAGCTAGAGCAGCAACTGAGGGTACGGCTTTAGATTCAGTCAAGTTTAGACCAAGATCCCAGCTTCCCTGCTTCCTGTGACTTTGACACAGATATTGATTTCCTGGCAATCTTTGTGTCAGTTGCTTGTGTTAAAATGCTGAGGCTTCCACCAAATTCACAGTAGTCGGGAGACATGAAGATTACAATGATCAAACTGAAACTCTTCAAAGGCAATGAGTTTGAGTTTTCTTTTGTGAGCCCCACAGCCCAGAACACAATCTTATTATTTGCTATCCTGATCTGTTTAGAGGGTGGAGCCCCAGCTGGAGACCAAGGAGGTAATAAAATCTCTTTTCTAAGTGGCTTATAGCCACACAAAAATAAATGACAGGATTTTAAACTAGCAGCCATTATTCATTTTCTGGACAAGTAAATCTTCTTGATTAGATATTTGTTCTGTGATTCATAAACAGATAAGAGAACATCAGGATGCAAACGAGCAATTCAATAAAAAGGGAGAATTCCTTTAAAAAATTGATGGTTCCACTTTTCCTTAGCAAGCAGGTATATGTGAGTGTTAAAATTGTTTACAGACAAGACTGGCACAGACAGAAACACACACACACACACACACACACACACACACACACACGGGAGATTGGGGGCATTAATATTCATGGGAGATTGGGGGCATTAATATTCTTTTGTCATGGGATCTCGCTGAAAGCAGCCTGGGTCACAGTTTTATCTCTACTTGTGTTTGCATCTGTGGCAAACTATCTCTAAAGGCCTCAGCTGGGCTGGAGAGATGGCTCAGAGGTTAAGAGCACTGACTATTCCTCCAGAGGTCCCGAGTTCAATTCCCAGCAACCACATGGTGGCTCCCAACCATCTATAATGAGATCTGGCGCCCTCTTCTGGCATGCAGGTATACATGCAGGCACAACATTGTATACATAATAAATAAATAGATAAATAAATATTAAATAAATAAATAAAGGCCTCAGTTTACCCAGCTATGAATTAGGAAGCTGGGTCACCCTGATATCAAGAGTTTGTGGTTCTAGCCTGTGTTCTCACAGGCGGCAGGTAGATCCCAGCTCTTAGGAACTGTTAAATGGCCTGACTAGGTGCTACCACTTAGCTTTGAGAATCTACTCAGAACCCAGAGAAGGCTTGCAGAACTGGCTGTCCAACCCCTGGTCTCCAAGTCTATCACCTTACCCAAGTAGAAATATTTTAAAACCTGCTTTAATCTTTGCTCTTGATTTTGTTCTTACCATGCTGCAATAATATTTAAACTGTCAAAGGGCATTTTGGAAACCAGCTGTGCACCACTCCCATCTACCCAGACCCTGCCCAAGCAGAGACTGTTAGGTCTCAGAAAGTATATATATCCGGAAATGAGCTCAAGCTGGACTGTAGAAGGATTTCTGGCAGCTAGATAGCTAGATAAAAGCTAACATTCCTCAGAAACTTGTCAAGCAGGTTTCCATCCCCTCAAAGGGTAGTCACTTCCCTTAGCTCTGGAGGCTCTCCATTGACATACACCAAAGGTGCCTATCACCTTCTCAGTGGCTATGCTCACCTTCAGGGTCCCTCAGTCCCTACCCTCAAGTACTTACTTGTTCATTCCAAAGTCCCTGCACAGCATCCTGGCCCTTCTTAGCTCCCCCCTCTGCCCTATAACTCTCAGACCAGCACCAGTTCATCCTTCTTATAACCTGCATGATTTTTCCACACACCCCCACTCCCACCTCGGCTCTCTCTTGCTTTTCTTGGAGACAGCCCTAGCCATGGCAAGTCTACTTTTTCTCTCTGCTCTAGACTCTTGCAGATGCCTCTGAATATTTTCTCCCTCTTATCTACAATAACCCCCCCCCCCCATAATGGAGTGGCCATCTTAGCAGTTTTTTCCTGTACCCCATTATATACAGAAACTCAATAAAACCATTTATCACTAGAAATGAAAACGAGAACATAAGAATAAACAGACAGAACAGAACATGAGAGGAAGGTAAGAGACCCTACATGCTCGCTTCTGTGTCTGAGTTTTATCTCGTTGTCCTGGCCTTTGATTTCAGTAATTTTAGTTCAAGAAAGAATAAAAACAAAGAAAGGCAAATGATAAAGTGAGCTGTTGGCCCAGGAATCACATTTTTATTTAGTCATTGTCTAGAGACAGTCTAGATTATGGGTGTTACTCTGCTATGTCCTGGGAAGGACCCAGTAGTTATACTTTTTAAAAGCTTCAAAGGATGTTATGCCTACAAAGAATGTTATGCCCCTAATATATGTACAGGGCACAGGGCTGTAACTCAGAGTTACAGTTGCAGAGTTACAGAGTTACAGTTCCATGATTCCAGGCTGCACGCATCTGAAGAAAGCAGAAAGACCTTTCAGGTTCACAGTTTCAACTCAACTCTTAACCTCAGGCAATTAGCATTTGCCAGCCCGATGCTCTTTCCCTTTCTGTGGACTGACCTGCAGCCCACATGTGATGTGCTCAGGCAACTGCTATGTTTCAGCTCTCTCCAAAGTCCATGTGTTACAGACCCTCAGACCTTAGCAGCCCCCAGAGCTGACACCATGGTGGAAGTACCATTCAGGCCTTGGAACCTAGCAGGTAGGCTGATGAAACAAAAGCAAAAACCTAATCCATCAAAGTCCATAATAATTCTGGAAACTTCCCTAAATGTAACCTTGCTTTTTAGTTTCTGTAGTTCCACTTCTGGCTAACTGTTCTTGCTAGCTGAGGGGTCAACCTAAGATTTTGCCCTTAAATGCTCCTCCTGAGAAAGACTCAGGACTGTGCTCAGGTGCAAAACACCCAGTGTGTATGACAGCCAGATAATAAAGACCTTTTGTTGGCTTGAACCCATGTGCAAGGGTCTTTTCTGCAGGATACCTCACAACACATGAAGCACATAGGCTGGTTTTCCTTTTAGCCTCCCCCCCCCAAATGCTGGAATGGTTTATTGAGCATATTTTAAGGCACATCTCTGGCCATGGAGGAAGCTTAGCAAACTGACACATTCAAGTTGGCTGTAAAAAGAGCTTTAATAATATGTAAAACACAAAGAAAAATACAATCCACTCTACTGTTTATCTAGAAAGTTCAACATAAATCAAGCACTAAATGTTGGGGGCTGGCAAGATGGCTCAGTGGGTAAGGACTCAGCGCTCGAATCCAAACAACCTGAATTGATCTCTGGAGCCATGTGGGTTTGCTGAAGGCTGTCCTGTCCTCTGACCTCCACACAGGTATGGCATGTGCCAGTATGTTCACACAAACGGCAAAGAAATGTAAATCTAAAAAAAAATTTTAAACATTATTTTAAAACACTAAAAACTGTTAAACCTTTGAGTGGGTACACCAACCACACTCTTGCGTGGTTTTCCTTTGCTTCTGTGGAGCTCTCACCACCTTTAGATTGTGGGGCTGGGCGGTCTTGAAAGGCAGTGTGCCTGCAATGGAGGATGCCCAGAATCCACCTAACAGTCATTCCCGCCTGGACAAAGAGAACCAGATCTTCACAAAGGGCTCACCGTTTGGCCTTCCTGTGAATGGTTTGCAATATCCTACTTCTAAACTCTCCCCAGTGATCCAGACACCATCCCCCAAGTCAAGTCTGGGTACATGGGTTTTTGTCAGATGAGGTCTGAAAGCCAATGCCATCACTTCCCAGTCAGCCCAATGGCTTTAGACTGAATAGCACTTCAAATTAGTGTGTGCAATTCTTAACCCAGAATATGGCATATGAGGACCTGTAGAGTTAAATAGGGGTAGGCTGCTAGCGAAACGTCTCAGTGGCTAAGAACACTTGCTGCTTTTGCAGAAGACTCGGGTTTGGTTTCCAGCACCTACAGTGGAGGCTTACTACGATTTCAGATCCAGGGGATCTAATGTCCTCTTCTGGTCTCTCCCTGCATCAAGCACACATATAGTGCAGATACATACATGCGGGCAAAAGCATTCACACAAATATAGTTTTGAATTTTAAAAAAAAATGAAAAAAAGTTCTTCAAGGTAGGGTACTGGTTAGAAACAACTGTTACCTTTTCTAGAAGAGGAAGAGAAGCTAGGGCAATAGCTCTGGGCTAAAGGTGCTGATTACACAAGCCTGACACACTAAGGTCCATCTCTTGGACTCTCTGAAAGGAAAAAGGAGAGAACCAACCCCACAAAGATGACTTCTGACTGCCACACCTGACGAGTGGCACACATGCGCATATGCTCACGTACACAATAATTTTATAAGGAAAAGGATGAGAAACTAGAGATGAACATTTACCACAGGAGATGACATTGGAGTGAGACAAGCAGAAACAAGCAGAGGAGAATGGGAGAGAGGGAAGCAGGAAGGGAGGGAAGGAGGGAAGAAGGGAAGAAGCAAAACAGTTGACCAGTCTTTGAGATTTATTTACATTTCTGGATTTCCTAGCCTGGAAGGGAAATGGTTAGTGACTAACAAAATTGAAAGCTGAAGATTGCAAAGGGCCACCCCATTTTAACTAATTAATTAACTCGTTTTTGTTTTTTTAAGTCAGGGTTCTACATAATTCCTTACATAACCCAGGCTGGCCTCAAAGTCATGGTTCTCTTTCCTTTCTGATGCCAAGAGTACAGATGTGCTACCACACCCAACACATCCACAGATGTGTTTTCATTGAAAGTCCATACAGTAAATGACCTATAAGCTTTGTGGACCTGGTCTCCTCAAAACCCACAAAACTTCGCCACATCAGCACAAAACTGGCCAGAAGCCATACATAAGTACATGCACATAACTGTGTTCAGGTAAAACTTGATTTTAAAAGACAAGTGGCCAACTCCTATCAAATTGGGTCACTAATACCTCAAATAAAATTTTTTTTTTCAGTATCATATGGTTCAGCACAAGCTTTTAAAAAACAGCACACATGGTGGGCCAGCTTGTGTCTTCGTCAGGCCTGTTTGCATGACTAGACCGTATTTATCATCCCTACTCACTCTCAAGGAAATCCAAGTCAGAGAGAGTCACCTTGTGAAGCCAGGAATCCAGGATGGGTTATTCTTGGTTGCTTTTGCCAGTAAGCTTACCTGTCGCCATGGCTTTAATCTCATCGAGAACAGGGATTACTGTGGGTCTTAGTTGGTCTTTTATCCTGCCTCCCAGCAAGATGCCGATACCTGGATTCAAAGAAAAGGAGCTGATGAGGAAGAGTCTGCTTCTCCTTCAGCTCTCATGCATTCCCCTCACACCCCGGGGGTCTACACCTGAAAAACATCTTCCAGTCCCCAAGTCCCACCATCTCTTCCAGATATTGTGGGCCCTGGTGTGAAATACCATAAACTGCTTCAGAGTCCTCAAACTCACATTTCCCAGTGGAAAATTATTCTCCATGGACCCTCAGACTTTGTGTGAGGACCACAGCATTTGTCATTTTGAACTTCGTTATATGACCACTGTCTCCAGCTCTTCATCTACACTGGGGTTTTCTCCACTGTGGTACCAGATTTGCTTTATGGGGGTGAACTGTCCTGTGCACTTTAGGATGATGAGAAGCATCCTATTACCTTGGCCAATAGATATCAGTACCACTGGTTCTCCCCAATCCTGCCAACCAAATATCGCCTTTTATTGATAACCACTTAACCAAGCTGCATGTGAACTCTAATGAGACACGGTCCAGCAAAGAACAGGGCCAGGGTATTTCAAAAGCCCATTTAACTGAGTACTTAGCAGGTGCACACATTTTCTTCTGCGTGAAAAATCACTACAGGAAAGTAAAATTAACTTTATTGATTGATTATTTATTTAATTTATTCATTTTTAAGACAGAGGTGGGGTTTTTTTTTCTTTTTCTTTTTCTTTTTTTGAGAGTAGCCCTGACTGTCCTAGAAAGCCCAGGCTGGCCTTGAACTCCCAAAGATCTGCCTGCCTCTGTCTCCCAAGTACCGGGATTAAAGGTGTGCTTGGCCCAGAAAAATAAAAAAAAAAATTTTAAAACAGAAACTCAAGTCCCTCTGCTTGTGCAACTGAAGTTTCACACCATTGAGTGGATTTTAAAATTTTTTATATTTATATTATATTTATGTATAAATTTATTTTAATTTACGTGGATGAGTGTCTTACTTGTGTATATGTCTGTGCACCACATGTGTCCTTGTGTCCTTGGGGGGAGCAAAAGGCATTGGGTGCTCTAGAACTGAAGTTATGGATGTGGGTGATGGGGAAAGAACCTAGGTCTTCTACAAGAGCAATGAGGTCTACTAAGCACTAAGTCACCTCTCCAGTCTCTAACTGTTGGATTTTAACCATCCAATGACAAGTGGCAAACGCCAGCCAGGAGCTCTAGAGCTACTCCTGTCTTCTTCCTACCTTCAGTTGCTTCCTGTTTTGGTCTGTGCTTTATAGGAGGTAGCTAAAGCATCTTTTGAACCATAATAAACAAAAATGCAAACTTATTTTCAATGCTACTTACCATCCAGGTCTGAGAATACCTTCGTCTTGGTGGTGGTATACTGAACCAATATATAGTTAATTTCCTGGAAAAGAAAATTACATGGCATCTGCCCTCTGGGATGCAAAGTAATACAAAGATGATAGGGATTTAAAATACAAAAACTTAACTCGGTCAGGGCACTTTGAAGAAGAGACAGCTAGGAGATGGCACATGCTCATCTTATCCTGTACTTTGATCATCACACTTCCAAGCTTTCCTGGCCTAACATAAATGTATCTATTGTGCTTGCTTGTTATAAACTTCCTAGCTGAGGTCATGTCTTCTGTCTCATGATTCTGTTGACTGGCTGGATGGATCATGGTGGGACCATATGGATGAGCAGGGGTGGATCTTTTTCTCCATATATGATCTTGCATCTCCTTGGTGACCAGTCTGGGTATTTTTACAAGGTGCTCTCGGGAATACCGTCAGTGAGAGAATAATAGATACTTGATGCAAGGCTCCTAGAAGCTGAAGTTTCAAACTAACCTGAGGTCATGTCCACAGTATTCTCCTGGATATAAACACGTCACAGAGACAACCCAGGCTCAAGGAGACAGATCTGTCTCCTAACACAGTGAAAAAGAATTGACAAGCATCTTAAGTTTTGACACACGAGTCCACGATATTGATTATTCCCAACCAGTCTTCTAAAGGAGTGGTTATCCTCTTATCTACAGTGGCTCAGAGGGCCTGCGTTCTACCCTCTCTACAAGCCTGGGTTAAGTTCTTCTAGGGTTTGACAACTTTCCCAATTGAATACGCATGAGAGTTTAAAATTTCATTTCTCTGGTTACTAGAGGTGAAACATCTTGCTCTATTTGGGGATAGTTATATTCTGTCTGTCAGTTGTTTATTCAATTATCTGTAAATTTTCTATTTGTTAGAGGTTTTCATAGATGTTCAACCAGTTTCCACAAAGTCATAGGAATTTATCAACTTTATATGATGATAAAAGCTACCCTAGATTTCATGAGCTATTGTTATTATTTTGGGCATTTGGGGAGTGGAAAGGGTTTTTGTTTTTTTTTTTTTTTTTTTTGCTTTTGTTTTCTGTTTGTTTGTTTTTGTTTTTTTGTTTTGTTTTGTTTTTGAAATCTTCGGGTGTTACATGAAAAATAAGTTTTCGTTTACAAGGTGGGAAAAAGTAAAGTGCACCTAGGCTAGACTGTAAAGCCATGCAGGGTTGCCTATTCTCCACCCTTCCAAAGGCCTCCATGTATCTTTTGTACGTCCAGCTGCTTGTCACACTTGAAGGGCAGTTTTTGGAGGACAGAGTCAATGCAGAAGGCCAGATCTTGTTCAAGGATCCATGGGTTCTGGCCCAATGCTGGTACCCATGAGCATCCTACCCTTAAGTCAGTTCCTGTCGGGAGCCATTCTGTTAAAGGAGCGCGCTAGGCAGGTGGGCGTTCTGGAAGGGGATCCGGTATTTTGAAAAGTCTATACCACGACACACCCTAGAATTACTTCCAGCCTCTGACACTCATTCTCTGTGCACCGCTGTACCGCTCTATACTCTGGTACAGTGTAAAGCACTTTCTGAGCATACACACTCTGATTGAACAAATTTCCTATGGGATCTTAATGAAGATACACTGCTGTTCAAACGAATTAATTCCTGATGATGGAATTCATGATTTACCTCAAATAATTTTAAAATTTAAATTGATTTAGAACTTCTAAAATAACTTTAGAAAGCTTATGGCTGCAATAAATACTTTTGTGGACCTCCAGATGCCTCACTAGAAGATAGGTTTGAGAAAGACTTGTGTTTCCAAGATAAGCCTTCCTTACAAATCCTGGTATACATCATAAATATAAGCAAGTTAGTTTAAACTTCCCATGAACCCAAATTATAATGGGATTACCAAGCAATGTCTAATTAAGTACAAACCTTGATGTTATTATATACAAACTATTCTGTTGTAATTCCTTATATCTTGTCACCTTATGGCATTATATACTGTCATTTTAAATTTAGTTTTTTAGAATGAAAGTCAGATAAAATTATTGTCCTGAACTCACTATAAACTTAGACATAGCTGAAAAAATGTGTAGCCAGGTTAGTCTAAATTGAAAAGACCCACACTCTTGTAATTTTTAGACTCTGTAAATTTTTGGGCCTTGTCAATCTTTGTCACTCTGAACTTACTATGAACGTATATAATGGATGCATAGATAAGAAATGTTTAGTTTTAAAACCTGTAACCTGTTGTATTTTAGAATTCATCTGTTTTTGTAATTAATTTCCTTTTTAACTATGAGGTAATTCCTTTTCTGGGAGCTTTGTCTCCGAGGTATAAAGGCTATACAATAAATGATGGCAAAACACACACACACACACACACACACACACACACACACACCGTTAGCGGAAGTCCAGTGGTGGAAGCCCATTGAATGAAAGCTGGCTGGAATTTGCTTCATCCATGAGTTGTAAATATGTATATAGATGTATATTTACATATAAATATGTAGTCTGTCTGTCTTTTGTTCATATGTTACATGAGTGTATGTCAATCGTCTGTCTGTATGTAAGGAGCTCCTTTTGTATTGTCCATTGAATGTGTGTATGAATATGAACAGGTCTATATGTCTTATTGTTTTTTTTGTGTATGTACATATAGACCAATGCTATGGAACTGGCAGGCTAACCTTGCTGCAGTTTCTGCAGAGAGGACACTAACAGAAATCAACATCATTCTCATATGTAAGCTTTCTCATATGGGAATTTATTGAAGTTAAAGTTCTTAACTTTATCTACTTTTTCCCTTGACAGTGTGTGCATGAATGGTCTTTTCTTACTTTTTCCCACCTTTCCTTTTTCTTACCAATTTATGAACAAGTTAACAGCAATTCAGGGTCTAACTATCAGCCTAGGAAAAGCAGAAAAAGGTTTACTTTAGCCTGTGGAGGCCTTTGTGGTGGCCTGACCCTACACAGGAGTTAATCTCACGTCAAAGAGAACCCCTTGCAGTTTTGGCTAGAAGCCATTTTATAGTCTTGGTGGGGAAAAAAAAAAAAAAAAAAAAAAATGGTGGCCGTTAAGTTTTCCCCCTTAGTAGTGTAGCCAGTCCCTAGAACTAGAGAAGGAATCCTGGACTCCCTCCCCTATTGCTTTTTCTTTCAGTCATCTTCCATGATTGGTTGCTGATCAGTTGCATGAGCCATCAGCTAGGCAACCCAAGAGATACAGCGAACAGGGAACTCTGCATCCTGTCCCAGATCCTACCCTGGACCCCGGAACCTAGCCAAAGCACAGGGAGACTTTGGAAATTGGACCCTAGAAGACTTTAGCAAGTTCCTGCTTGGATCCTTTGCAAATCACAAGCTGCACAGGTGACGCACCAACACACTCACTCCTAGGATATGGACAAAAGAGGCCTTTCCCATCACTGCCTTCAATCATTCTGTTTGCCCTCTTCCAAAATGACGTGTTTTTTTGTTTGTTTGTTTGTTTTTTGTGTGTGTGTGGTGTGGTGTGTGTGTGAGTCCTTCCAAAGGAGACTGACCCACCTACACAGATAAGAATAAACAAGTGTATATAAAGCTAAATAATTCCATCTTAATAGTATGCAAATGATAAGAGGTTAACTAGACCACCAAAAAGAAATGCAACAGCATCGAACAACTAAACAACAACAAACAAACAAAACAACTCACAGTGAGACTCTTAAAATTATTAGGTACTTTCATATGTGCTGTGATTTTGTTAAACCTAAATAAAATAAGGCAAAATTAGACACCTTTTTCTTAAAGCTATGGAAACAATGTTTTCATGCTTTTGAGAACTCTCTGGTTGTGTTTCTTCATCTACGTCATTAAAGAGAAATGCCTTTCCATGTGGATTCACTGACTTCTTACAAGGTTTGGGTGAGCTTCCAAATGCACACACAGGGACTCAGAGCAGACACAAAGCATCATGGAATGTGCAGGTTGCAGGTTCTTACCTTTGGGGTTTCAGCCAGGAGCATTTGCAAGTCTCTATAATTGCTCTCTTCCAGTTTCTTGGTCTTTTCAGTCAGAGTTCTTATCTGGTGGTTGGCCACAAAGCCACATATGATGCCAAGGCTTCAGGGAAAGAGCAGAAAGAGGGTTAGCCAAGATCCGCTGTCCTCAGCACCACAGGAGCCGCAGAAAGGCCACCTTCCTCTGCAGTCCACCCACTAAGATCACCACCAAACCACACTACCAAAATACTTAACAGTACTAAGACCTCTCTGAAGACAGACCTCTGCTTAGGATGAGGTACTGCATTATGACCCTCGCTAATAAAAACAACAATGCTGGAAGGGAAGTGACAAAGGATCAGGCAGTGTCGGGGGCATGTGTGTGTCCCCTGGGAATATGCCCTCTTCACCCACACAAACACTCCCATGCGCTGAGCTGCCCCCAGAGAAGAGGGATTGAGCAAAACTTAGCATTTTTTTAAACCAAGGTACTTGGCTTTCTGGTGGTTTTTCATTTGATTGAAATGAAATCATTTTCATGATTCAATTGGTTAAAGCACTATAGGAAGGCTTAGTTTCATTTCCTGATGCTGTCACAAAATACAGTGATTTCCTTTCCACCTGATACATACCAGGGTGTGTCAAGGTGACAATTTTGAAACTACCACACACACAGGGCGACACGCCCGATGCTCACTTATAGAAAGTACAGAATCAAACCAAATGAGGCTGCTATGTCGTGGTGAGAGCTAAGGTCTCTTTCCATGTTTGTTTTCTTCATGGAAATTACTGAGTATGTGTTTATGAAAAACATACTTTTTATTCCTCCATAAAATAGACATCATAAGAACTTCCAAAATCCTTCACCGAGTCATCTTTCCGGAAAGACTACCCTACGTGAAAATTAAAACTTCTTTCTTACTCATCTTAAAAGATTATATTTAAACATATTAACAGCTCTTATAGATATTAGCCACTATTGCTCTCTTGATTTGTTGAAGCAGAGCCTCTGAACATTCAAAATTTAGATTGTAGGAGTAAATTCCCAGCTAGGTTTGGTGGTGTAACTGTAATCCTGACGTTTGAAAAAGCAAAGAGAGAAGACCTCGTGTAACTCCAGGTTAACCTCAACTCCCCAGAGACCTTGTCTCAAAATTGAAACAGAACCAACCTCTCAAAGCGGCAGGGAAGCTAAAACCCAAAATACGTTCAGATCTAACCACTAGAGGGCAGCAAGGAATTAATAAATAGCACAACACAGTTTTACCGCACAGACCCAAAAGACCCAAATGGTGACTTTGCAAGTAACTGGCAAACGAAAACAAGACGAAGTTGCCTATCATGTTGCCAAGCAATTTCTTGGGTTTTATGCACACATATACACGTATGCACTAAAAGCATTTATTTGCCTTTCGCTGGCCAATTTCATTAAGGCCTTAGAAACTGACAGGAAAAAATTTACTTCAGATTCTAAAGGTTTCATCTGTAAAAGCTCTTAAGTCTTTATTTGTAAGTACGTGATGTTATTTTCCACAATGTACAGACATTTGTAATGCTGTATATCCTATAAATAAAGATTTCTGACTTCTGCTCAAAAACTGAAAACATTTCACTATTCTACACAAAGCACCTATTTGGTAGATTAACAAAACATCGGGGTCCAGAGAAGGGGAACCACTGAAGTTTTATGGCCTTTTTGCCTTAGGTTGTTTTTTTCTCAGTGTCCTCATAGCCTAGTCACGACTGGCAACTGCCAAAATTCATAGAAATTAATTTATGTGGCTCTAATGTTTGCTTAAAAGGGTAATGATTGACAGAGAATTTTTAAGTCCACAGCAAATGGGATCATTTATTCTCTACTTTGTTTAAATGAAAGGCTTAAACTAGAGATCAAAATTGGAAACTAGCATTGGTCAATATAGTAAAACTTTTATCAGTTGCTAGTATTTACACATTGGGAGGTTTTATGTAAGAATTCAGTTTACAGGTGTTTGTAGATACTGGAAAGTTCCTGCAATACTGCCTGCCTTGTTGCTGGCACATTAGAGAACTGCAGAGAAAATGCGCTGCCAGCCACCTGACATCTCCTAGGTTTCTTCCGGTGCTTTCTGCCTGACCATGAAGGCCTCTGAAACTGTCATTTTAAAAATTGTTGTTGTTGTTATCTTTGTTTGGGTGTTTGATATTCTGTGCACGTTTGCATTCTGGTGCCTGCAAAAGCCAGATCCCCAGGAACTAGAGTTACAGAACAACTATGTGGGTGCTGGGATTTGAACCTGGATCCTCTGGAAAAGCAGCCTTGCTAAGAGCTGAGCCATCTCTCCGGCCCCGGGACTTGTCATTTTCAATTTAAACATACACATTTACACTGAAAATTTGCTTGGAATTTTTTTGAGTTTATTTGCAGAACTCTAATAAATCTCTGTGTCCTTTATTTGGGAACTAAATGGTCTAAAGTGGGATAGAAACCCCTAATAAATAATTAGAAGTGAAAGGGGGCAGAGTAAATCCCCCTAAAATAATTCTATGTCAGGCTCCAGTTAAGAACACTGGCTGCTCTTCCAGAGGATTCATTTTCAAATCCCGGTACTCAGATAAAGGCTCACAATCATTTCTAACTCCTGTATGAAGGGATCCAATGCCCTCTTCTGACCTTTGTGGTTCTAGTCATGAACTACATGCAGTACACAGCCATACATGCTGGTAAGATACTCATAAACACAAAATAAATATTTAAAGAAATGACGAGCTTGCTGAAAGGCCCCCTCATGAAGTAAAGGAGAGCAACCTTCACACGATAACTTCTAGGTGACAGCAGCATCTTTGGGAGTCACTTCTGCTGGCCCTTTCTGTTTCATTTCACTTTAAACTCATGAATTTAGCTGGGTGTGCTGGGGCATACCTGTAATCCAGGACTTGGAAGCCAAAGTAGACATTATCAGAAGTTCAGGCCCAGCCAGGACTTTTGCAGTCCTTATGCTGTGTAAATTCATGGTCAGCCTACCCTGTGTAGTGAGATCCTGTCTCAAAAAAAGTTGGGTGTAGTGGTGCACACCTTTAGTTCCAGCACTTTGGGAGGCAGAGGCAGGGGGATCTCTGTGAGTTCAAAACCAGATTGGTCTATATAGTGAGTTCCAGGACAGCCAGATCTACATAGTGAGCCCTGGACAGAAGGAAGGAGAACAAAAAAGGCTCACAAAGGAAGAAGAGGAGAAGCAGGAAGGACAAAAGAGGAAAGAAGGGAGGAGAAAAAAAATAAAACAAACTCATGGACTTAAAGGCTAAAAGGAGATATTACCCCATCTCCCTGCCACACTCTGACAGTCCAAGTCTTGACTTGCCTCATGAGCAGACAAATCACCAAGAGGGAGCTGCCAAGGCGTTTCCTCCGGTACCGCTCGTTCTGCTTCTGCTGCTGGTGCATTTCCCCGCCACATTTGTTACAGCAACGGCACAAACAAAAGAAGTAGCCCACCAGAGGCATGAGGATAATGAACAGCAGTCCCAGGAAGACGCAGATAAGAACTCCAATTTCATAGTAGGCAATCTGCAATGCACAGGAAAGACACAGCACAGGTCATGCAAAACGGGAAGATTTTTCTATTGGTGCTCACTGCTGTATGTACCTCAATGTGTATGCATTTCCACATTTATCCATTTAGAAGCTCTCTGCACTGAAGGAAGTGGAATACTAAGTTACCAGAAAGCTGGCCAACAGGGTAATATTCCTTTCAATTGCCTGGAAGTTACCTAAGAGAAAGGTCAAGTGGGAAATGGTTTTCTTCCAGCTTCAAAGGCGTTTTGTTTTCCAGATGGCTTAAAAAATAGCTCTGTTTAGCAAACCGTACACACACATAGGGTGTTTTACATCAGGAAGACAGAACAAGTAGAGATTATGAGAGCTTTGAGCCATGTTGGATGGGATTGATTAGTGACAAACTCAGTGTTTATAAAAGAATCTAAATTTTGAATAAAGTGTAGACATTTTAAGTGAGTCAAGCACAAGGCCATTTAGCTTTATGTGCCAACATAAATAACAGTATGGCTCTTATCAGGTCATTGTGAAAACTAGAGATAATGTATGATTAAAGAGGAAGTGCCTAGGCAATCATTAGCCACTAGCAAGTGGAGCTTTTGTGCCATCCATGAAATGAAATGGACTAGTGAGTATGAGGATCTGTAGCCCGTGTCCACACAGGTCCTGACTTCCCAGGATGCAGCACAACTTCCATAGAGAATCACTAGACCTTAATATAGTTCCATTCTCCTTGCAAGCTGGTCCTGGACTACATAGAAAAATATCCTAGAGGATGAAATCATCTCTCGTTTCATCCCATGCACAGTCACTCATTTCTCTTGTTTGTTTGCTCACTTCTTAAGCCTGTCCAACAGTGGAATATACTAGTGACAGAAGACAGCTGAAGAAAACAATGACTTTGTTCTTGAAATCTGCAGAACTAAAAAGCATTTCCTGATACAAAACTGTGGTCCCACTTCACAGAGGTGAGCTCTCTACCGCTTAAAGGGTGTGTCAGAGTTGATTTCTCGACCACAGTTTAGTCAGGATTTGGCAATCTGTACATTAACTTTGATGGGTCGTGACCTCTGAGCACATTGTAGATTATCTTGACATCAGACGAAGGGAAGGTCAAATATGACAGCAGAGACACAGACAAAACACATTTAAACACTATTACAGGGGTGACACCAGGGAAGAACAGAAAGTGCCAAAAGAGACAACACTTCTCGCTGAGTCAAGACAAACAGCAACACAGAACAGACAGCAAGCGCACTGTTTACCTTCAAAGCCAAGACTATGTTTTCTGGCTGTTGAAATCAAAGTAGTTGAGGAGTTTGTATGTAGCAGAGGCAGCAAGCATCAAAATAAAACAGAAAAGTCACATGAGTCATTAACCATAACCATATTCCACATTGGAAAAAAATCAAGAGGGAGCAACATAAGAAAGAAATATATATTCTTGAGTGTATATTTGAGAATTAATGTTTTGATTAGAGTCAAGTTCTGGAGTTCACATTTGGGTTTTGAAAGGTCCAAAGTCACTGTGGTCATCAGTTAAGAAAAAGGAACAACAGGGAAGTTATAGATGCTAACATCCTTGCTATATGATCTTCGTGAAGTAGGTAATAAAGAGTGCCTAGAGTCCAAGAGCCAAAGGCAGCTCTTCCAAAGCATCCCCTCTAGAATGAAAGCTGGAAGTGTCATTCACTTGTTTAACATCCAGTACAGTTCGGCCACGTCTAAGGCAAACTTCCCAGCATGGTCCTTTATTACCACACAATCTTGGCTTCACATCCTCATTTTTCTTGGCCAGTCTCAGTTGTTGGTTGTCATTCTGTCAAATCATTTGTTCTCTTCACTCCTCATTCTGATTTCCCAGGTTGTCTCCTTACCCAGGTCATCCACATCCAGTTTCATCCTGGATGAAACTCAGGTCTCAGCATAGATGCTGCCTTCCCCAGGAAGTTTGGGCATTGTACATCATCTTTCATACTGTCCTGTAGCTCTGAACTTGCCATTAGAAATAATGTACTTGCTTAGAAGAAAGGGCTGCCATATAGCCATATCCTGCCATACCACCTCCAAGAAAGCAAGCCGCACATGCAACACTTACCCAATTAAAGCTAAATCAACTGATGTGCTAATGTCATAAAAACCACAACCCAGGACCAGAGATTCGTTGGCATGGTCCACAGATAGAGACCAATCAGTGATGAAAATGAACCAACTCAATGACAAGAGGAAAATAAAGCAGATCTCAACGACTTTTTCTATAAGCTAAATGTGCTCAGTTTATAAAACTATCAGTTTTGGTAACCTGTGCCAGGGGGAAGAAAGCTGCGATTTTTGTTTCTAAATGCCCTCTGGAGCAAAATAAAATGAGGCAGCTGTGTCATTCTCCATTTTACTGTTTTGAAGTTTTCTGGTTTGGAAATCTGAACGTGCTCAAACTGTTCCTTACCTGGGACAGGACTTCACACTTTTGAAAGAACAATGCTCTAACAATTTTTTAATGAAGCACAGAAAATGTTGGTGGTTGGGGACATTTCAGATAAACATGTCCCCAGGGATCACCTGAGCCTCCTGACAAGTCCTATTCTGTCTTCCTGGGTGAGACTATGAGCTTGATAACACTCACAACCCTGACTCCCACATCCACCAAACGAAAACCTCCCAGGCTCCTCTTCCCTTGTAGTACATGAGTCCAGGTCTGGAGAAGGCCATTTATCTGTATTTAAGGGAGCTCTCACATGATGATTACAAGTGAATAATTTGGAAAAAAATCTGTCCTCACTTGGCGACTATGGCTGGTCATCCTGATCTAGAAAGGTCACTCTACTTATAAGCTACAGCAAAGGGCTAATTCTTTTGTAATTTCTCCAACTTAACAGTCAGCCTGCCTGATATATTTGACAGGGTGACAATAAATAACTCCATGGACATGGTAGGTGAATTTTCAGTCTCTTTCCAAATGAGCTGTTGTACAGGATAAATTTATTTCTGTGCTATACAGCAGTTGAAACCTTGATTCTCTGTACCTTGGTGCCCTACGATTTTCTACTCAGTTGTCTATTATAACCACCTAGGGATCTTTTTAGAATACCAGTAGCCAGCTCTGAAGAACAATATCAAAATCTCTAGGGAACCTCTTCAGTGTTGCTCCTACTGCCACACCCAGTCTCAGTTACCTCATGGGCAGGAAAAACAGAGAAGGCACCTAATGAAGTTTTTGCAAAAACTAGAGAGGACACGTTGGCTAGTCTGTCATCAGTGTTTCATTGTGTTTAGGATGAGCTGAAACTTGAAAAGGATATAGACCAGAGCCTATTACCAACGGGCTCCAATGATTTCCTGTGGTACACTCTCTTCTAAATGTCCTCCAAGGTCCCTGGAGTGTGCTTTCCTCATGCAGAAAATAGGATGTGAGTTCCGACTAGCGGTGTGTCTGCTTCTTGAAGTGAAGAGGTGGCAAATAGGTAGCTGAACCATTTGCAGGCTCCTCGGTTATCCTGGAGTTTCCAGACCAGATCCAAGTGAGGTGATGTCCCCATTTCTACCCGCTCTTAGGAGAACCCTTGTCATTTGAGCCATCAAATTAGTCAGGCATACTAGTGTTTTCAATATACATGGAAAACAACAGTCATTGTATTTTGCCCAGAGATATGAGCCAATCTGGACAATGGTTTGGCAATAAAAGGATGTGAGGGGATTGAAGGCGGATATTCTGCAGAGTCCTGGGAGAATAGTGAGCAGAAGGCGATGTGGTTTGCTCTTCAGTTGTCACCATAGTCAGCCTGGCTCCCCAATGAAGCTGTTTCTAACTACAAGGTCTCAATGCATTAGCCATTGGGGCAATGGGCATTCTCATTCAGACTAGTGCTGGCTATGTCACTGTTCTCTTGGCACCATCCTCAGAGAAGAACAGGAAAGAGCAACTTGCCCTACTCACCTCATTGTGGTCTAAGAACATGACAGACATAGTTCCCCTGGTTTTTAATCATCCTACATCCAACACACACAAAGGTCTGCCTATGTGTTCCCACTTAAAACTAACCAAAATCAAAGGAAGCTTCTGTTTGGGTCATAGGAGTAAATGAGGCAGATCGGCCATGCCTCTTGGTCTGTCCAGAGCTCAACAAGACCCCTCAATGCTTTCTGAAAACCTAGACCACTTGCCTCCCATTGCCTGGCCTGGGTCATTTTTCTTCCTCTCTGGGAAGCTGCTCACTCACCCCTTCCACACCTGACCTCTGTGCTCCGGCTTAGTCTCCCCCAGCACTCCCAGAGCCACACCCTCCCTGCCCAACCCCTCTTGTTCTTTCCACTTCTGTCAGGGTCACTATTAGTCAGGGCTTCTGCTCAGAATTGCTTCTTTTTCTCTGCTTCTTTGTGTGTAGCTTCACACCTCCTTATTTCCGTATTGCCCTTTCCCCTGGAACCATGCGGTCCTGACCCCCGCTTGTCAGGTTCGACCTTCCTTATCTTAGTCGTTCCTCTCATTCTAACCATGTTTGCACACCTAGTAGGAGCTCAACAAACCCAGAGAGGAGCACAGATGGGAAGCTGCCATGTACCAAATTGTTTTCAAAAACAACCTCCCACATCACTGGTTCTAGCTTCTAAGATTCTCAAGCAGCCATCCTGCTTAGGAAGTTTCCCTCCCTTAGCTAAAGAAGCAAAGCAAAACAAAACAGACAAACAAACAAACAAAAAACTTAGTATTTCTTTTCAGGAAATTTTAGAATGACACATAACTTGTTTTTCCTTCAATTTTGAAATTTCTGCCACTCAAATGGGATCTATAAATTATGACAATATTCCATAAAAATCCATAGCCAAGTTCCTTGTCTTCTCCCACTTTCGATATCGATCCTGTTTGCCCTCCTGAATGAGGATTAAGTATCTTCCCTAGGGTCCTCCATGTTGTTTAGCTTCTTTAGGACTATAGATTTTAGTGTCTTTATCCTTTATTATACCGCTAATATCCACTTATAAGTGAGTATATATCTTATGTGTCTTTCTGCTTCAGGACAATCTTTTCTAGTTCCCACTACTTGCCTGCAAATTTCATGATTTCCTTGTTTTTAATTGCTGAGTTGTATTCCATTGTGTAAATGTGCCACACTTTCTGTATCCATTCCTCCACTGAGGGACATCTAGGTGTCCCTAGGTGGTTTCCAGATTCTGGCTATTACAAATAAAGCTGCTATGAACAAATGTCCTTGAGCAAATGTCCTTATTGAATGATGGGGCATCTTTTGGGTATTTGCCTCGGAGTGGTATAGCTGGATCTTGAGGTAGCACTATTCCTCATTTTCTGAGAAAGCACTAGATTGATTTCCAAAGTGGTTGTACAAGGTTACATTCCCACCAGCAATGGAGGAGGGTTCTCCTTTCTCCCTAACCTCTCCAGCAAGCATCATGTCTTGAGTTTTTGATCTTAGCCATTCTGATGGGTGTGAAGTGAAATCTCAGGGTCGTTTTTATTTGTATTTCCCGAATGATTAAGGATATTGAGCATCTCTTTAAGTATTTCTCTGCCATTCCATATTCCTCTGTTGAGAATTCTCTGTATAGCTCTGTTCCCCCTTTTTAATTGGATTACTTGGTTTGTTACGAGGACCTCCCAGGGTATCATAGGAGATCCTGAGACTCATAGCCAAACTTTGGGCAGAGTGCTAGAATCCTTATAGAAGAAGAGGGAGATAGAAAAACCTGGAGGGGACAGGAACTCCACAAGGAGACCAACAGACTCAAAATACCTGGGCCCAGGGGGCCCTGCAGAGACTGATACTCCAACTAAGGACCATACATGGAGAGGATCTAGACCTCTCTTCAAAGGAAGCCCATTGGCTGCTCAGTTTCCAAGTGGGTTCCCTAGTAAGGGGTAGGGGTTGTCTCTGATATGAACTCAGTGGCTGGCTCTTTGATCACGTACCCCAGGGGGTGCAGCCTTACCAGGCCACAGAGGAAGATGATGCAGCCAGCCTTGATGAGACCTGATAGGCTAGGGTCAGATAGAAGAGGAGGAGGACCTCCTCTGTCAGAGGACTAGGGAAGGGGCACAGAGGAAGAAGAGTGAGGGTGGATGTGACTCAGAGGAGATGAGGGAGGGGGCTGCAGTGGGGATACAAAGTGAAAAAAATTGTAATAAATAGATATATAAATAAAATTAAATTTAAAAAATCCTTAGTCAAAAAAATGTTACCAAATTACAGATAAAATAATGGTTGTTTAAATACCTGTGTTCAAGCCAAGCATGATTTTTCTCATATTTGTTATTTTTAATAACAAAAACAGAAGGTTACCTCCTTGGAATCAACTGAGAGGTCAAAGTTCTTCTGTATGATTTTTCTGATCATATCTGTAAAAAAACAATCATAAAATTCCAAAATTATTTTTTGCAGTAAAAGCATACAATGCATAAACATAAGGTCTATGAAATAGTTATAAACTATTTTAGGTGAACATAGCATCCTCATAATGATAGTCCTGTTTTCTAAGATAGGTAAGTAATTAAGCTAATGAGCCTAACTCTAAATAGATGTTATTTTTTTTTACATTTATTTATTGAAGGTAAATAAATAAATGTAATAAATAAATGTAATAAATAAATAAATGGTAGGATAGCCACACAAGATGGACAAGGCCTTGGGCCATATCCATCAGTGGCACACAGTGGAGGTCAGAAGACAACCTGTGGCCAGCATGAGCTCTGCAGCTCACCCTTGGGTCACCAGACTTCGTGACAAGTACCCTTACCCACAGAACCACCTCTCTGGCCCTGTTGTCGCCAAGTATTTCCAACACTTGCAATATTTCCAAAAGAGCCATAAAAACCAGCCTGATCCATGAGTTAACGTGAGAAAGCTTTTCCTCCTGTTTCTCTGCAGTATGTGAGAACTCTGAAATAACTGTGGAAAATGTTTACTTTTCCACCCATGCTCAGTTGAGGGGATTTTCAAAGGATAAGCACTGGCTGAAAACGACGAGGACTCCTCTGAAGATTCCTCAAGGCACGATTTGAGAAGCTGAGGTCCGCACAGTGAGGGACTTGCCAGAGAATCCCAGTGGTTGGTGAGATAGCCAGAGCCAAGTCTCCCTTCTGCCCAGGCTCTTTCCCATCTCAATCCTCACTGTCCCTCATTTCCAAGCTTCACTTCAGTGCACTGAGTGCTGCTTCCCTCTGACCTGTACCAACCTCTAAAAGACTTCCAGGAAAGTAAAGGTGTTCCAAAATGCACACCTCTCAGGAGTTTCTGAAACACAACTTTTTCCTGTGCATAGATATGACCTGAACCATGGTGTAAAGATCACGTTGCAGAAACAGGACTAGGAATTCTGGCAAGCTGAGTCCTTCCTTCCCACTCACTACCAGGGAAGGAAGTCTCTCTCCCCTGCAGCCACTAAACATTACTCAGGTTCTGCTAGAATCTCACTAAAATGTTCTGTTATCAACTAAAACTTTTATATTAATGGTCATCTATATATTTAAATATGTTTTAAAAGTTATGTTCCTTGGGCTTGGTATAGTTTAGAGGGGATGTGGCACACAAAAACAGAGCAGAGCATAATCAAAGACCCAACTTCTATTCGTAACACCTGGAGAATTAGTCCGAAGGCGGGGAGATGGCGCAGCTGGTGAAGTGCTTATTATCTACTGGCCTCCCGCGTGCATGCACAATCATTGGCATGCATGCTCAGGAACACACACACACAGCCTCCCCACACATACACAAAGGTCTAAGGGAGGGGTAGCTCAAGCTCTCTCACCTACTTAGTGTCTAATAACTCACGGTCACAAGCACCCTCACTGGCAAAAGGAGTTGGGTAAGTCTCAAGTCTCTGAGGGGAGGGTTAGGGTGTTAATACCAATCAATAAATTGGTATCCTGAGGTCAGGTGTATACTACTGTTATTACTGTTATTTGGAAAACACAGATCATAATCTGTGCCAAATAGAGTTCGGGAGACTGCTGTTTTGACAGTGTATTATCCATTCAACTTTCCATTATAAATAAATAAATAAATAAATAAATAAATAAATAAATAAATAAATAAATCACTGAGAGACCAACTGCATACTCAAAGATGGGTCCTTAGCAGACTAAGCCAGAGGGTCCCCAAGTATAGTTTGCTCCACTCTTAGAGTCCCCAGGATATGGCCAGGACTACTGGAATGAAGCAAGGTGTGATTTGCCCTTTTGCTAGGTTGACATTTGTACTGAAGTGCAGAAACCATAGCAGATGACAGCTGGTGACTTAGAACAAAGAAAGTAGCAGTAGCCAATAGTCCCAGGTTGTTACCATTCAACACAAAGTGCAACAATGCAAAAGTCTTCTTGATAAAACATGAAAGTCACATTTATTCAACCATGATCTGTGAGTCCATATCTTTCAATGACTGTGTATAAGAAAATGGAGAGTGCCTGAAGCTCTTTTCTGCACACCACACTATGGTGTTATAAACCCTTGAGAAAAACCAAAACAGTATGCCAGTAGTCAGCTATCAGCTAAACTACTCATGTTCTCATGGAACACCATTTTTTTTTTTGTGGTTGTTATTAAAAGAAAGTTGGGGTGACAAACAATTTGATCTTATTTGGGGTGTCTTGTAGTGATTTGTCCTAAATTTCAGGGGCACAGACTGCAGCTTCCAAACAGCCAATAACAGAACATGTTACCAATGAGAAAATGGAGCTTTGAAGCCAAAATCTGAATTTTGCAAAGCTCCCATTAATTAGCCTGCCTGTTATGATTAGTAGATACATTAAAAATGAGGTATGTTGGGACTGAAGCTCAGCAGTTAAGAGCACTGGCTGCTCCTCCAGAGGACCTTGGCTCGAATCCCAGCAGCCACAATAGAGCTTCATAACCATCTGTAGCCTCAGGCCCAGAGGATCCAATGCCTTCATGGCACTAAGTGAGCATCCACAGGCACATAAGTGGGGCACAGACACCTGCAGACAAAACACCCATACATATAAAACAAACACAATATCTTTTAAATGAGGTATGCCAACATCTTGTAAGATGTTTTAAGACTTGTAAAGCTCAGTGAATCACTTTTCAGGTGAGAATATAAAATGTTACGAAGTCCTCCTGGCAAGGTGAAAGATGGACCAATGGATTTGGATAAATCAAAGATAAAAAATTCATTGAAAATGAACAGAATGATGAGCACCTACCTAGTCTGGGTAATGTCAAAGAAAAAAAATACCCAGAATTACAGAAATGACTAAGGGAGTCTTTAATTATGTATCCATGCATTCCCAGAAGCTCACAGGGTCTACAAACAGCCGACTACCGTGACAGGCTGAACTGGAACATAGATATAAGAAAGCTGATGACTCCCACTAAACCAGAGATTAAAGAGATTTGCAAAAAATATAGTAAGGAGGGCTGGAGAGATAGCTCAGCTGTTAAAGGCTAGGCTCACAACCATAAAGACGTAGAACTCAATGTCATCTTTCTCACTTTTTAATTATGTTGTACATGAAAAGTTGGGTACGCTGGTTTGGACTTTTTGAGACAGAGTGTTGCGGTGCAGACCTGCCTTGCACTCCCGTGAATCCTCCTGCATCAGCCCACCGGCATCGATCGGATCTGGCTTTATAGGCATACAGATCATGCCTGGTTTGGAAGGCATTCCTTATTGTTAGTATTAAGTTAATTAGCAAATGAATGTGAAAATTTCTCCAGTTTAATTCCAAACTTGGTAGGTATGATGGTTTGGAAAAAAAAAAAAAGTCCCCCATAGGCTCACAGGAAGTGGCAAGGTTAGGGGGTGTGGCCTTGCTGGAGCAGGTGTGTCACTGTCTATTCCTGCTGCCCTTGAACGCTTAGCTCCTCCTCCAGCACCATGTCTGCCTGCATGCTACCACGCTTTTCACCATGACAATAATGAGCTGAACCTCTGAACTGTGAGCCAATGCCAAATTAATGATTTTCTGTATAAAAGTTTCCACGGTTTTGGTGTCTCTTCATAGCAAATAAAACCCTAACTAAGACAGCAAGTATGAAAAAATACAAACAGTAGCCCCTCTGTGGAACAGAATAATCATTAAATTGTTAAAGAGATATCTGAGACCCCAAAATGTTAGGGCGTCTGTGTTGAGAAGGTTGGCTATCCTAGCCTTGAGCCAAAGCACTTGCTTTGGAGGTCAATCCATCTAGCTGTAGCCCACAAACAATACTTGTCCCCCAATACCCTCTCCATCTCTGTGGTGGGTACTGCCACTGCAACAGTCCACAAGGCAGGAGACTGAGAATGAAAGCAACATCACAGAACAGTGGCAAATGGGCCCCGGAACACCCTGGGAGTTAGACTTTTGGCATCTTTCTAGAATTTGTATGTGGAGGAAAAGAAAGAGGTGATGATTCAAACTGTGGCCAAGAAGAAGCATCCGGAAGCAGGGGCAGTGTGCTCACGCCTTCAGGATTGTTTCTGTTCTCTAACTGGCTTCTTTCAAAACATACATAGGTTCCATCTCAACCTGGGCCAAGTGAACCCTGCTCCATTCCCTTGTAAAGCGCATAGAGAACTTCAAAAGCATATGTGTGTGCTGCTGATGCATCAGACGCATGCTGAGCTTAAGTGCTCTTGGATATTGCTGATGCGATCTGTAAGTCAGCACTCTTGGGCTCTTGTGGTGGTAGGCATCTCTCTGTGGAGGGCCTGGAGTCAGTTTTTGTTTGTTTGTTTGTTTGTTTGCTTGTTTCAGAACCACTATCTTAAACACCCCTGGTTCAAGCGTTCTTTGCTCTAGGCAAAGAAACTGCAATGTTAACTTGTCTGTCAAATCATCTCTGATCAAAGGGAAAAGCGGTATTCATACCCTACTGTAAGTATCCATTTTAGAAGGAGACTACAATGATACTCAAGTACAATGTAGAAACCCACAAGCAGCAGATGTGAAAATGTGTAATGTTATTTAAAACACATGACTATATTTCTTTAGACACAAAAGGCTTTCCATGAACACTTAAAATAAATTTCAAGTTTGTCCTTGTCCAGACCAAATTCCAGAGAAGACGAGAAGCAGATAGGTAAGTCAAGTAGAATGCTTGAGTCGAGACACAGATCTAGGCTGCTCAAAAGTTAATGCAGCCATGCTTTGTGGCTTTGTGTAATTCCAGCTGCTCCAGAAGCTGAGGCAGGAGGATAACCAGTCCAAAACCTCCCTAGAGTACTGAGCCAACTGAAAGCTAGCCTAGGAAACTTCTGGAGACATTGTCTCAAAGTAAAAACTGCAAGTCAGCTGGGGATACAGCTCAGCGTAGAACATCTGCCTTGCAGGCACAAGGCTGTCAAATGCCCAGTCCTGCCCCAGCCTCCTAGAGGTTAACTTCCTGGAAGTACTGC